TTAAATGGATCTTCTTGATTTACTTCTGGAATTATTGTTGGCAATACTCCTCCAGGCTCGCTAATTCCGGGACAAAAGACAGACTCCAACGCCGAATCATTCGTTTCTCTCATTGTTGAGGTATGAACTTGAACTGTTACACAAATAGGTCCAGCAAGTTCGACCTCTTCGTCACTTAAATCATGATCGTAAATTTCCGAAGCTTTATTTGGTCCAGATGATCATTGAAACCCTGACGTCGTAGGCACCGCGCCATGATCTACCGTTGCAGTTAACACATCTCGATTAGTTATTTCATGAAATGCTGCTTTTGTATTTACGGTATTAGGTTTCATCATTGTTGTAGAGGATGGTGCATAATCATTATCTTCCCATATATCCATATTAATTGGCCAAATTCCTGGAGATTGAAACCCTTTAATGGCATTATTGGCAGTAGCACTTTTTAAATATGCTGGAGTAAATAATCGAGCCACATCATTACTGGGCAAAGTGGATACCATATCCACTTTGCCCGTGTTCGCTTTGTGCGACAGGTACTTTTTGAACGAAAACTAACCTACAATCAAATCCAGACACAATAACTTAATGAATATCGCAGTAATTCAACAAGAAAACATGCACTTTACGTCAATAATGATTCCAAAAGAGTAACACTATAGGCACAATAGTAATAATTAAAAGACGTACCATAAAATATCGTAACAAATTGTGATATTATTATTTTTCGCCTTTTTTTTCACAAACGACGCGCGACCTTGCGTTTGCTCTACTTGTTTACGACCGAGGAGAGGGGGGCGGACCTCATGGCAAGCTACGGAATTGCACGAATACGCCATTTTGAAATAATGTGAGGTATTCACTTTGCCTGACCTATTCGCGTTGCCCGGACTTCCCCTATCTGTGCATCAAAAACAGTGTCAGGGTCCTATGTCCTAAGTTACATTATTAATTATCGAAAAATGTGTTTCTTTAGAGTTGTGTTAGGGTTTCGAAAATAGACAATTTTCGTTTTCGGAGAAACAGAGTAGGCCGTCAGTTAACGCACCGCCTCCGCCTCAATATAATGGGCTCACTCTTGACTTCGATCTAGCCCAAGTACATAAATGAGATCACTCAAAATAAACTAAATGTAAAACAATTTAAATAATCAGTCTTATTATATGTAATAATTAGCAAGGACTTCATACATTAAGAATCAGCTAGTTTTTGCATTACTGATTATTTTTTGCATTTAAATTTATTAGTTTTTGCATTTAAAACTTAATGAAAATAATATTTAAAATATAAATAACAAAAAATAAAAATAAAGATATCAAAACATAATTTAGAATCGGCGACTACGCCATTGTGCGCCAGGGGTGTGGGTGAGCGGAAACACAACCTAGCATAGTTAAGAGGAAAAAAAAAATCATCGAGATAATTAAAATATATACCTTTAGGTATAGAACTTTTTTATAGACTTTAAAATTTCGTTTTCTCGTGAAAAAATATTAAGTAGGAAAGACAAAAAACTTTTACTGTTATGTACCTATTTCAAAAAATAATCTAACCTATCTTGTGACCTATATAGTTTTTGTTATTTATTAAAAAAAAACCACAATCAGATTAATTATTTAACATAAACAGCATCTTATAATAATCCTTGTCACGCGTTCTTTCCTTACCTCATTGTGTCAAATTTAGCTTATTATCAAATTGTCCAATTGTCATATAGCGATATAATAATTTCCCTGCAATGTAATAAATAATAAAGTTTAGATAGAAATGAATCATTTAGTCCGATCAAGCTAGACATTCTTCACACATACTTAGTGCTCGCACATTTTTCCATAATTCAGCCACACGATCTGCAGAAGCGACGAAAGATTGGAAAAACTGACTATGATTGGAATCTGTAAAGACATCAATTAGGTGAAAGACTCATGATCAAGATCTTACCCTGTCGTAAAATTGTACCCTGTCGTATACAAATGGAGACCAGTAATTCATACCAGATGTAACCCTGATGATTACCGTAATCCTTAGAGTAAAGGGACCGACTAGGAGAAGAACATCTGGTTCGGAAACTTTACATTCGATTTATATTCCATGTTTTGACGAGAGGCCAGAACCGAGGAAGACGATGACGACGTACAGAGTAGTGTTAATGGATAGCAATGTTTTATGAAGGTCTAATATTGTGACAAGCTTTCTAAACGTGGATATATCTACTAATTTATTTATTTATTTTTTATTGCATTTTAATACTAAAGGCGAACATAATGCCAAAAGCTTTCTCTGCCAGTCTTCCAGTAAAAAAAAATGTTGGGGACAGGATGTTAGGCGATAAGAATTAAAAAAAAAAAACAAAAAACTTTGGCCAAAAAATTATTACAATAAACAAATTGGTAATAGCCTAATACATAATACTATATATACCTAAACAAATATATATATAAATATAGATAAAATATGAATATATACACAAAAAAAATAAAAAAAAGATGACAGAACGCATATGAAATTATTATATATGGAGACTATCTCCATGCACCAATCTCTTAAAAACCATTCTACTCTGAGCAGTTTTAATATGAGCTGAGGGAGCATTCCAAAGGCGAATAGCTGTCAGAGTAAAGGATTTGGAAACAAAATCAGTATGACGAACGGGAGTTTGAAGAATGAGGTTGCTACTAGAGCGAAGATCACGTTGATGACTGGAACCAAGATATTGAAACCTAGACTTCAAATATCCAGGGGTACATGGATCGTAAAAGATTTTGAAAAGCTTACAGATAACTCGCACGTTCCTGTGTTGGTGGATAGTTAACCATCCGAGTGGTTTCCTGTATTTAGAGATGTGATTGTATTTACCAAGGCCAAATATAAACCGAATAGAACTTTTAAGCAAACGATCCAATTTGTTAAGAAGAAATTGACCAGTGTCCGAATAACAGACATCAGCGTAGCGGAAAAACAAGGGTCTGTCATTTAAACGCAATAATGTAACTCCTTATATGTAGGTACCTATAAAATCAACGAAAACTTAAGAAAACCTCGAATATTTTCTTGGGTATTAGGACATCACAAAACAGTTTCACAAATTGACGACCCACCCGACAAACAGCCCAAAATTCACATCTTATGATTTTTTGTAGAAAATTGGCTTTGTAAAACGTATTGTAAAGTAACGTGAAATAAAGCCAAAGGGCAGGTCCATACGAAAACAATATCCAACTGCTATTTACATAGAAATAAAACTTATAAAATAACATAATCAAATAAAAATAAACACTGTATATATTAATCTTAAGAAATGTTTAAAATTCTGAACTAGTGATTTTTTTAAGAATTTTTATTTCAGACAAACTGAAAATATTTTGTTGGATACATTAACAAATATTTAAATTCTGATTGTTTAAACAATACTATAAACCACGAAACACTAAGATCATTGTGTTAAAATATGCTACAGTAAGCTTCTCTTTATAACTAAGTACCGGACTCCGTTTCGGATGTAATTATTTATTTATTAGTCAATACAATAGCAGCAGATCCACACACTTATTATTTGTACATTAAGGGTGTCAATGGCATAACATGGTCCCTGCATACCTCTTTCGAGATAAGGATAGGCGGAACTCGCGCGCCAGGTATTCATAAAGTCGGGGGCTCATAATAAAATACCACGCACGATAGGAAAGATTTCAGGAAGGTTAGGGAATATTGTTCATCTCAAAAATGCTACTCATTATTTTACTTGGCTGACAATTAAATAAAATGTTATCTTCAAAGCTCAGCATTTTGTAGATGATTATAGGTTTTAATTTATAAAGGCTGTGATATTTTTCAAGTGATGGCATTCTACATGACACTATAATTATACGTGTTAATAGGCTTTAATTTTTGAAACTCGTCATTAAGTATTTTGATTGGCGAAAATGTATCTACCGATATTAACATTAAATATCAGATGTTTTTTTACATCTTATTTTTTTTATATAGAATATACATGTTATGTAGTGTAATAAAAAAACAGTAATTTTATAATGATTATAGGTATGTTATTCTTACAAACACAGGTGAAGTTATACATATTAGTTAATTATTATAATTTGTCTCACCTACCTAGAGAATTTTATAAGCATTTTTTTATGAAAAATAGCTATTGCCTACTGTGTATTTATATTAAATAGAAGTTTATGTACATTATGTATACACATAATGTATAATATATCAACATATTTTTATTGTAATAGGTACCTAAATAATGGGTATAAAGAATTAGTTAAGTAGTAAGATAAAGTGTGATAATGCGACGTCATTATTATCTCATTACAAAATTGTTTAAAGTTATTAATATCTTATTTGTGTACTATTAGTCCATGCCATTATTTAACATTTATGTACGTTACTACTAATGAGATATATTAGATATTTAATATATCCAAGTAGTTAACAGCATGCTATTTTTATTTATAACCTACCTTCAAAGTCAGAGACAATTAAAAGCTAACAAAACCTTCCGAAAATTTTGGCTAACAATTTATTTCATCATAATATCTCATTTAAGGTAGGTACCTGATTATCTACATTAATTATCTTCTACAATTTTAATTACATAGAAATGTATCGCTTGATTTTTTATAATGATAATTTGCCAACCAAACGTTATAAATTGGTACCGGTAAGTCTATAATAGCTTTATTTAATTGATCGTCACTAGTCAGCACTGCGGTTTCGATTACAAATTCGAAACCGCAGTGCTGACTGCTGTCAAACGTGATGAATCTAAATATGAAGATTGTAAGACTTTACTATTGACTCTTTTTTTCTATAATTCTTTAGCTGTAGATGCCATTACGTAAATAAAATCTTTATTTATTCGTATTAAAATAATATACAAGATTGCTCGTAGTTGTAAATGCGATCATGCTGAATTCATTACACTACACTTAAAAACAATAACAATACAAGTACGGTACCCTAATTAACAAAGATATCGCATTGTCGATGTCACGAGTAGCGTCCCCAAGCCACAAGCGTATTGTTGTCGGTGGGCAATCGGCATTGAGGACTGCTTGCTCACTATTCCGCACGCATTCCGTGACCGGCACGCTTGACGATCGCATTCGGAAATCGTCGGTGCGCGTGTGCAGTTTAAATTTGGCGCGCCAACAGTAGCGGTCGAGCAAGCTGCGAGCGAGAGAAGCTCCGTGATTGGCAAACCAAAGTTGAAGACCGAAACGAAAAAGTTCATTTCATTTGTGTTTTGTTTTTGTTAGGAACTTGTTTTTTGAAAATTAGCTAGGATTGTTTAATTTTAATCAAAGACTTGATAATCTTTGGTGTAGTATAATTCTAATATAAAACAGTTTCAAAGTGAAAGATATGTGTTGTTTGTGTGGTGATTTTCTGTCAATAATGTAATCGGCGAGAAGTTTTTAAAAAGCTCCTTTATCCTTTGTTTGGAACGTGGACGCCTACGCTACGGTAATCCTCGTGTACATAGTAGTACGATACACTACTACACATACAACGATTATTTACAATGGACGGAGAAAGAAAAATACGAATGAGCGAAGATGTCCCATTGAATGCAACAGGTGCGGCAAACATTTTTTTGAACACCGGCAAAAATACTAAATTCAATTCAACAGATGGAACTATCATTCATCTCAAATCAGGTGACTTTCATTGCTTAAAATAGGTTAATTATATTATAGGATCTCGGTAATGTACTAAAACGTGTTATTTTTTTTCTTATCGTAGAGAAACCTGCCGACCTCGGCGTCCACATCAACACGACTCTTTCCGTAGCGTCTTCCAAGAAAATAAAACTTTTGTTTATACTAAACTTTTTGTTAAGTGTTATATGTATGATACTGAGCTGTTCCATAGCTTTTTATTATTGGAACGAAATGATCTCGATGAGAAAACAGATAGACTTATTAAAAGAGCAATTTATGATGCACAGCATAGGGCAGGATAAAATTCAGAGCAGCCCTCTTGTTTCTTTCCAAAGACCGCTGTATAACAGTGACAATAGGCAGCCAAGAATGGAAGACAGCTCCAAAGATACCCTTCTAAATACAAAGAAATTCTTTGTTGAAGACCTTGGAGAAGACATGCTTCTAGTGGACTCTAGCAAAAAAAATCCTAGCAGAGAAATGACATCATTGAAACAACTAACACAAACAAAGAAAGGTACCTACATCACCATTAAAAAAGCCTTAACATCACAAATATGACAAGTAAATAAAATTATTTTCTTTTTTATTCCAGAATTATTGGTGGTCCACTTTAATGGTGCAGTTCAAGAGACTAACTTAGGTTTACAATGTAAGTGTTTATCTTTGTTTATTTATATTATTATTTGTATTTGTATAAGAGAACCTCCTGTTCACTGTTATCATCACACACATTCACATGTATAAACTATCTGTTTTGTTCTATGTTTATTACATCTCACAACATTGAAAGATACACAATAATATCTCAATTCACTTCAGCTAAGAAGCCTATAAATTAATAATGATATTATTTAACCACTTAAAGGGCTTGGCTATTATTATTCTATAATAATATAACATCCTCTATTTATAGCTACAGTCTTAATCACATTAGACATAAAGTTCATAATTCAAAAACAGAACCCATCCACAAATATGTGATCAACATGATAATTTATGTATACAACAGTCACAGGATGTATGTATGGCTCAACGCCCAGATATTTGTAGTATTCTATATAGGAACAGATTATAATTCCATATGGACATATAAGATAAAAACTTGAATGTATTTTTTTTTTTTACATTTAGTAACAATACAGTCTAGGAGTTTTTTATTAAAATAACTCTTACAATTATAAACTAAAATGAAGAAAACTGCTAAAATTACATTGGATTTAAGAGCTAGCTTATTGAGAGTGTAACATAATACTGAAATAGTGATCGGCACAGACATTCTCTTAGATTGTAATTAATGTTTGCTTCAATTGAGATAGCAGACAGTTAAATAGAGGATCATCCATTATCCCTTAATGAACCCATGTAAATAAAACAAGAAACTCATTATGCTATCTAGTCTTGTAAATATTTCAAAAAATATTTACAATGTTTTCACACAATGATAAATGTGTTATTAGTAACTAATTACACTCTTGGGGTATGGAAATATTAAATGATAAAGGTACCACAATACCCAGATCTAGGAAAAATGTTTTTTTAATGTGTTGACCCTACTGGGAATCAAAATTGGGATTTCAAAGTGTAGATCTCTTCATTACCGAGGTAGTCACCCATAGGCACATGTTTATATTTGTTAAATCATGTTATATTTTTTAATCATTATTATATTTGTTAATCATTTTCAATAAATAATGAATTATAGTGGGTTACAACAAATTCCTTATCCCAATTATTGCATAAAGTATTTATTTAGATATGTGAATAATGTTGGTAATTCCCTGTGATCCATGAAAACAAAGACATTACCTTTTCCCTTCTCACTAATCGTAACCGAATTGAAACTGCAATAAAAATACTAGGCAGTACAGTACACAGCACGTTAGGTTGCTACAAACAGCAAAATTTCCACAATTGACTTAAAATCTTAATTTTTTAAGAGGAATGTTTAAAATCTAACAAAAATTTGTCCCTTTCCAGTAACCCAATCTGATATTGTCTATTACTTATTCTGTTCTTTCCCGCAAAATGTTTAGTGCTGAAGTTGTTGTTCCCTATTGATCGCGTTCAAAAGTCTTTGATAGTTGTCGCTAGAGGGGAGAAGCTATCAGTCTGCAATTGCGGATGTTAAGCAACTTTCTTAAAGATCGGTTAGGTGGGTGACCAAAATTATGAGCCTCACTATGCTTCGAAAGTAGAGTTGTCTATAAAGGGAAAACAGGTAACCATTTTTTATTTTAAACATAACATTAATATCCTTTCTTGTTATTATACCAAGAACCAAATCTTATAAACACGGCTAACCCTTCAGGAAAGAAAATTGGAAACTATGTGTCATTAAAAATAATTAATAAAAAAAAAATAGGGTATTATTTGGTTTCAGATTATGATATTGATATTTTGTAAATGAGTAGTGTGTCTCAATCTTGACTATCCCTATTGCGATTATAATCAACAGAGTGATTCCGTAAAAAATGGAATTCGAATTCACTCAGGTACCCGAATTCACTTCGAAAGCGACATCCGCTTTACCTTGAATTGGTATTAACTTTTCGTGGAACAAGTGAAGTGAATTTCGAATTGACACAAGAACGAACGAATTGAAACAATATCTGGGACACGTATGAATCAATCAATCTAGTTTGTTATATTTTTATACAAAAAATGGAATCATTCGATTTCTATACTAATATAAGTTAAGGAGATTCGCTTTCGCAGTAAATTCGGATACTTGAGTGAATTGGAATGAGGAAGTATTTAAAAAAAAACCATTAGTTTCCGAAATCAAACTATATGTCGCTACGGTACTTTCTTGATTTCTCTATGGCAACCATTCCGGTTTTCTTTCATGTATAAAAGTGAATTAGTTTTCTAAACTCAATAAACGACTCATATTCTATTTTTACTTTTCCATATTTGTTTTGCATATCTAAGTTTCTAACTTTGGAAATTTGAGTTTTTTTAATATGTTAGTTAATAGGAACGGAAATGACTATCAATGGTCCATTCGTTTCCTGCAAAAATCAACTTTTGCTAGTCACCATTTAGTGGAGATGCTTTTTAGTGCTTTCTTTTTTTTTTATACTTCCTCATTCGGGTTTGCATTTTACGGATCGCTCTGCAGGTCATGCGTTTTGACCGTGAAAGCGTAACAAACGACTTACCTACATATTTCCGTATTTAGGTACTGTGTCATACTACAGTAACCTCTACTTCACCTATGCACCAAGAGTAATTATTGGGCGCGTATGTCTGTGTGTATATTTCAGAGAACACTTCAGCGATGTGTTTTGTAGCAGTAGTTCATTAGAAAAGCGGATGTAACACATTCTATTCGACTGTTTTTTCTAACGACCTAAATGAGTGTTGCATTGTGTGCGTGACTTCAAAGGTTTTATTTGTTTGAACCTTTGCTGTGACAGCGCTTTGTTCGACGTCGAGTTTGAGGCTGTTTTATTGCAGAATACCAAAACAGATATGCTCAAGTAGTTTATTAGAAAATCTTACAAATTGTGAAACATATTCCACTGTTTATAAAATTGCCACTAAATTATTTTCTATGCTAGATCTTGTCAGATCTCTGGGAAAAAGCTCGGAATCGAGCTCCGCTAAGTACGATCTTTACCGTTAAGAGTTAGTATAATTATGGCTCATGTCTTCCCTATTCCCTATCAAATCTAGTAGGACCCAGTGCGTATTGGAGGTTGTTAACGACTGCAGATGCAACGTTACACGTTTCAATATTTGTAAAATTATCACAAAAAATATTTTTTTCAACCAGAATTTATCCGTTTGTTCTCCTGACTCCTGTTATATTGGACGGATTCTAATATTTCACAAACTAAACTCTATTCAAAAACAAATAGCGAATGCTTATAACAATTTATAATAAACTCTGTTCAAGTTTTACGAGAAATTGTACCTACTACTATTGTCGAAAGCTGTAGCAGGTATGCAACTAACCCAAATCTTAGTGACGGTAACTTAGCAGGGACATAAAAAAATATTCACTATGCTACCTTCTTTATAAATGTACTACATTGTGTGTGCCCTGATTTACCTGAGGATTTAATTACTCCAATAATACTTCTCAAATACCAGTAATAACTCACATTTATTTATTTTATAGAAAACACCCAATATTACATAATGTACAGAGTTTTAGCTCTCCTCTTTAAGTTATTCTGAATTTAATGTGTAACACACTTTTTTATTTAATATCATTCTATAGAATAATAAAGATTATTATATGACCCCAATGTTTAACGCTATATTATTAAATGCGCAGTTGATAGGCTTATCTTCTTTATTTCTGATAGTATAAAACAAATCGTTTTTGCAACAACTTGTAGCGGTTAAATTCGTTAGATAATAACAGTTTTAATTTTTTGACGTTTTAAAGCTTTGAAAGGTGAGAATCTTGCACTTTCGATTATTCACAGTTTTCCATATTTCTCATAGAACAATAATAATACTTATACTTTATTGACCTCAAAATAAGACATATTAATATATTAAGAAGAGATAAAGTTTACAAAAAATAATCTTATTGCTGGACAGCAAACCCTTCTTAACCTCAGAAATCCGTATAATAAATAAATAAATTATAGCTGCAGCTTTCCCTTAGATGAAAGAATTTTTAAAATTATTTCAGTACAATTACATTTTTCCTCTATAATGTCAAGTAATATCGATGATAATAACAGATGATGGGATTCATTTCATATACTTTATACATGTAGAATTTAATTTAATCAATTGAGAAAAGAAGAAGAAGGTAATGGAAGTTGGTGTAAAAAAATATTTATTTATTTTTTCTCTTCACTTCAGCTATAGTCGGGCCATGGGTGCGAGATAAAGAAATATCATCAGAGAACAGCGAGGACAAGATAGAATTGAACACCAATTATGTTACTATCCAGGAGAGCGGCATCTACTTAGTATATGCGCAGGTAAATTTCATAGTATTTTTGGCATTAGGTATTTTATACAGCCGATGAGCTCTACGGCGATCGTTAGCGCACTCAGTTGCGATACTGTTGTTAAGCAACTTCCGTAATGCCCGGTCTTTGGATGGGTGACCAAAACTATCTGGAGCTCCTCCGTGCTTCGGAAGATTTGCAGTGTTGGGTGATGACCCATTCGCCCTATTCAATTTGATTCGGATTTATCCTAAGAGAAAACCTGGGCCCCAGCAGTGGGGACATTAATAGACTGCTGATATGAATTGAGAAGGTTTATTTTATACAACCAAGATTTTATACTACGATCAACACTGGAAACTAACTACCTGTAATTTTATCAAATTAAATATACCATATATTATTTTGCGATTGACATTCAGGAATTGTGATGTCCCGGAATACACGTTTCTTCGTCTTTCATGTCTGGGATCCGTCGTTTGTACATATGTCCATCATAATTATTATGCGATACATATTCCGTATCTTAAACTGTAAGAAGTGAATCGTTAGACCCCGTGTTTAAGAAATGTGTTGAAAGTGTTTTTCTATATTTGGTTACATTTTTCTTTTCTTCACGCTTTCCTTTCATTCTAACTATATTGATATTAACCTCATTGATATCTTCCAAATGAAGTTTTAAAAATGCAATATTGTGAATAAAAATCCCATAGGTTCTATTCAAACCGATGATCTCAGCTAATCAAAGTGACCTCTGGACGCCCGCGCGTGTCCTATCATTATACGTGTATAATACATCCAGTTAGCTCATGTGTTTTGTTTATGATTGGAGTAAATACAATACAATTAAATGCGCGTGTTATTGACACGTGTAATAAGTGAAAGTAGGAAATTCGTCATCGCTAAGATGAAACTGACCAAATTATCTTAACCCTTTTAGCATACAGCGTACGGTATCCTGAGTCACTGCAACCTCAATTCTCAATTGTTAAATTGCTAACTGTTTTCGGGTCTGCAGCATATTTCATCTATAGATAAAAAATAGAAAGTCTTTCGTCAGTTATATGTAGAATACATATACCAATACTTCGTTCTTTTACTTTCGTAATTTCTTTCTTATCGAAATGTAAATCACTATGGGGTTTATACTCGTACTAGTATAGATAAGATATTATTCCTATTACTAATTTACCCTTAGTGTGGTATAAATTGATTCGAAAACTCATATATTTTTTATTTTAATTATTAATTATTAGATTGAGTTTTCGCATTAAAAAATACCATATCTAATTTGGTAAAGTTATATAATCGCCGCTTTACATATGCTTAAGGAGTATTATATATACAAACTCCAACCCAATTGTGGTTTTGTATTGACGTACAGAATGAACGGTGAATGTTTGTAAAAATTTTAAGTGACGCATTAGTAATTTTGTTATTCGTAATAGTGTAAAACACAAAATGTGTTATAATTGTTTTACTGGTATTAGTAAATACTTGTCGTTAATGCCATATGAAGTTATTTAACTTAATATAATAACTTACAACGAAAATAAGAGGAAGTGGTATCAGAAAAAACTAAACTTATTTGCATACCTATCATTGCTTGTCCTATTTTCTCTACAACAGATTTGTAATTCTTTATAAGTTACACTAAGCAGTTATGAATCATATCCTGATGTTTCTTTACAATACTCATTTATCTTAACTATTCTTAAATGAACTTGTTACAAAAGAAGCTATCGAATGCAGCTGTAGATTATTGCAGATCGGGCTAACTTTTTAAAGCGCTTTTAAAGAGCGTTAGCTTGATAACGGAGTAGTTGTCGAGGTCCCAATATTTCGAAATGCATGCTATACCGGTATTCAGCTGCATCTGTATCATTAGCCATTAACGTCTGCCCTGCCCCAAGCATGAGCCAGTGTGGTAGATTATTAACCCGTTCTTTTGTTACTTCTTGCTTTAAGGAAATCCTGCCAAATAAAACAAACTGATAAAAATATTATTTTCAACATACTGACGTTGCTTGTCACAAAACAACTCTTTCTGCTAAGTTTTTCATATGCAACGCTTTGCTTAATAAAAAATGATCTATCATCATCATCAGCCCTTTTACGTTCCCGCTGCAGGGGCTCAGGCTTTCCTTATTAAGGAGGATGGGCCATGACTGGCTATGACCCTCCACGCTGGCAAAATGCGGATTGGAGGGTATTAACGACAGCAAATGCAGCCGGGACCAACAGCTTAACGTGCCTTCCGAAGCGCGGAGTAGCTCGAGATAATTATATATTTTGGTCACCCATTCCGTGACCGACCCTTGCGAAAGTTGCTTAACGACAACGATCGCGGGCCGCGGCGCTTATCCACTACGCCACCGAGCTTCTCTAAAAAAAATGATCTAATTCAAACGTTATTGATATAAAATTAGACGATCAAACGATAAGTTCGTTCGATAAAAATTATGTTTCGCAGCTTCATTCGAATCGATTTAAATACAATATATTAACCATAAATCGCAAAAAAATTAAACTGCGAAACATAATATACATAATAGGTATACGTGTCTCTTAAAGAGAGAGATTTCTGGCTATATTGAATTGCGGTGGGTTATAAATATAGTATCGCCTTTGTATAGGACATTGTTGTTAACTAAACCTAAAATATAAATAGCTTTTATATCATTATTATAGAACATGTTATTAAAACGCAATTTATGAATTTTTAAGTCGCCATTGCACTTTTTATCAAGACAATTAGCAGAATTGGTGATTTTATAATCCATATCTTTAAATATTTCGCGATTACGTTCAGATAGCATTTGTTATTTTTCGCATATCTTTAGATTAACATATCGTCGCTGTGCGTTCACAAATCGCTATGTGTATTGGAGCTACTTTTCAGGAACAACAAAAAACTAGTTTACTCTGGATATATTCGAGATAAGATAAATTATTTTTGTCTGATAAATTTAATAATCTATTAACATAGTTTAAGATCATTATCATTAAAATGACATGTAAAGTAAGTTTTCTAAAAAACGAAATGTTTAAAATTTACACATAGCGTTAATTTAATGTGTCATAAATAGTCGTCATGTGCCTGAAGAACACATAGCTACTTTTAAATGACACGGAATTTTTATAACTTGCCCTATCTTATAGCACATGGCTATTTAATAAAACTAACTTGTTTAGTTATACAAAACGTTTATTAAGTAATTGAGGGATACGAATGAAAAATTAGAAATAGATCATAATTTTTTTAATAAATACAAAAACAATACAAAACAAAACAAACATTAGTCTTAAAATCAGTCAAACCTAATCATTTTACGTATCTAATTACAATTTTTGTACTTTGATTTCAGAATGAGATCAATTAACTTAACGAGATAAATTATGAAAGAATGTGTGGTTATCACGATGCATGCAACGATGTTTTAGGCTTTGTAAATGTTTATATTTAGTGGCATCGATTTTCAATGGACCGTTGTATAGCCCTGCTGGTTCCGTGATAAGCGATGTGTTTATTCGTCTTCGTGGCAAAGTATCCCCAGTCATCGGAATGGCGTAATTTATATTGCACTTCACCATTGACATAAATAAGTCCTCTTAAATCTGTCACAGTTGCATCACCAACTCTTCTACCATGTCTTATAGTTGAAAAATTCTGTTCTTTCAAAATCTCTGTATTTTTTTTCTCTGTACGGTGTATACATTATTTTCCTGGCACCAGGCCATATAAATGAAGTACATGCGAGTAAAACATTCCAATGATTCTTCAATGTATGTCCTGGTACTATTTGCTCGATAATAATGACTTGGTACTTTTGGTATATCATCAAGCCACTTTTCACAGACTCTGACTTAAGATTTGTGTTTGTAAAATGATTAGCAACTGTATCGATTTTTCGGACAATATTATTTTCACCATTCTCTCTTAAATCTATGTTAGATCGAATCCATAGCTGTAACACATCTTTCTTTAAACAACCGTTGCAAGAAAAAGTTCTTTACAAACACGTACCTTCACACCATTCATGCTAAGCAAATAGCAATCAAATTCTACATTTTTTTTGTGCATCGTTAGATGTTTTTCATCGGCGTATGATGTTTCGAGTCTGACAGTCTTACTTAAAAGGACTCACCATTTAAGTAAGACTTTTTTGCTTGCCATGAGGGTAATTACCAAAAGTATCGAAAAATACCGGTCCGTGTTTCTTCATTAATAGCAGCACAAGTATAGCTTCTGTCCGTTTTTTTAGCAGCTCCATGTCCATAAGGTTTTAACTCTCATTAGTCTACATTAGTCTACCTACACTTCTTCTATTACTGTATTCTCGTCGACTTTCGTAACTTTATGACCTGAATAATTCTTCCCTAAAAGCCTCACCTTTTTTCCTCCAGAACAACGACATCTCCCTTAATGGTACTATTATTGTTTTCCTTTTCAATTATAGGTTCAAAACAACCAGTTTTATCGTTCAGGTAAGAAGAATCTACAAACTAACTATGAGCCATGTGGTAATATAATATGGCTCATAGTTAGTTTGTAGTTCTAAGCAAGATTCAATTGATCCTATAATAGTTGTTGTGGTTACTGTGGTTACTACACTTTGAGTTGCACCTGCTATTCCTGTGATTGATTCCTGACTAGCTGTCGTAATAATATTAGTGAAATCGGCAAAAGTATTAATAGCATAATCTGTATTTCACATAAGTTCTCCCTTTGGCCTGTTGTAGTAGGTGGATATAATATTGACGATTCTTCTTCCAGCAGCCAGTTCACGTATCGACTGTTGTGGATCTTTGCAAAACGATACAAGACGTTTACTTCTCCAAAACCTAGGCATTCTTGTTGTTAATTCTAAAAGAGCAAAAATAAAGGATTAGTTAAGCAATTAGCGTTAGGTAAACTCCTTATATTTGTTTTTATACTAGAAATTATTATAATACTAGAAGTATAAGGCGCTAAGAAAACAAGGCACTCCGTTATGATTAATAAATAAGATTAAAAAAATATTTTAATCTCAGTAAACCCCAGGGTGGGAAGTTTGGTTTCTTACACAAGCAAAGCTACGAGCGTAAACTTAAAACAATTATGGTAACCAGTACCAGTTTATTACAGTTTTAATCCATTCACCAACTAAACCAAAGCAACCCAAAATTAACTCAACCTTAAGTTAATATAAAAAATAATATGACACAAATTATTGATTTACTTACTTGTAGTGATCTCAACTCGTAAAAACAATCTCGTCCAATCGCGTACAAAAATATCGCTATGTGTCAAACTGACATACGTTCGATCTGAACTGAAACTTGTCCAATCGCGTACAAAAATATCGTTATGTGTCAAACTGACACATAACGGGCGCAGTTGATGAACATGATTGAATAGTGAATTTCTATAGTTATGTGATTTTAGGTACTTAGTGATTTTTTGGGAACATTCAATGTATGAACGTCACATAACTATTTTTTATAACTTCGTTATTAGTAGTTTTATCACAAAACTGTTTTTACACCTTACGTGTAATGATATAAGGGTCAAAATTATATAAAAAACCAAATATTAAGAAAAATCACATAGCGACTTTTGCAGGCGCAGCGACGTTATGTAACATAGACATGTAAACTAACCTTGTTTGGGCGTCTTCGTCTACCTAATATTGATATGTCGATCTAAAAAGTATTTACGTCGTAAGTTGTTCGTGGAAGTCAGTTTTAAAATGTGTATAGGACCTTTATAAAAATACTGACTATATTTTTACTAAAGATGATAGTTTCCAAATTTTCATCGTATTTAATAAAGCTTTTTATTTACTTTGTAGGTGGTATATCTCACGCAAGCCCCCAACTGTTACTATATCTGGGCACGGCAGCCGGGACAGCAGCCGCGTATGTTGACCACGTGCGCGACCGGCGACGACTCGTCGCGGCGACCGCTCGACAAATCGCAGATCTCCTGCTCCGTCCAAACTGTCTCGCGTCTACTGAAAGGTGATACCGTCAACATCGCTCAACGCGAACACAATAGAACCCTCTGGCTCCGACCCGGCTACTCGTACTTCGGATTTGTCAAACTGAGTTCCTAGATTATGGCTGTGCTAGTTTTAAGGCTGGTTTTCGACCATATGTAAGTTGAAACATTGGTCGCTATAATCTTTAGAACACTGCCAAGCGTGGGTGTAAAAAAATGAGGCAGCCAGACTTTTCACAAACGAATGTTTTGGCAATAATCTCCAGATAAAGTCAAATCCCCCCCTACGCTTTAAGCTGGAGTGCCCCCCCCCCCTGGAAAATGTCTGGAAAAACACCCATGCCTTGTGTAATGGTGCTATGTAATGAATGACTATAGGATTTGTATGTGAAAGTGCCATAATGTACATAATATTTTGTTTAAGAATGCGTCACATTGGCTCGTAATAACAATTGGAGTTAATATCTATGGTATGGATCGTGATGAACTTAGTTTAGGAACTTTTGCCCATTTTTTATATGTGATCTCGTATTGTTCGGATAAATGCCACATAAGAAACCAATATTTTGATAACGTCTGTGGATTTATACTTCATTAAGCATTTCAATTAAAAATTATAAGGAATTAGTAGTATTTAATTTTTTGTTAAGTAATTTAGTCATTATCTGTAAAATAAATGTAAATGATATTGCTCAAAAGTGTAATGTTGAGTTTTTTATTTCTATCTACATTTTGTTACATTTAAATCGACACACTGCATTTGGATAATGTTAGTAGTTGATAAGTAGTTTTTTTATATATTTCAATACATAATTATTGTATGTAAATGTCAATTATATGTTAGAACATAAACATACGAAGTTTTGTATTATGATTATTATTTTGTATAATATTTATACATCACTTATTTCTATTTAGTTAGTTAAATAATACGGCATATAATAATTCTAGAAATACATCAAATATTACTAAGTATGCAAATGAATTATTTAATGCACATTTAGTAATTTTTTATGAATATTTAGTTGGCTTAGGTTGATTGAGCTTAGAGAACCTTTCTTGGTTTCTTTATGTAAATTTACTTATCTCGTTATGAAGAGCAAAAAAATCTTAGTATATTTAAAGATTTATTTTGTTGTTTCAATACATATCTACTGAATTAAAAAAAATTGTGATAAACATAGATTAAGTTACTAGTCTATTTTTTTAATGTGGAAATTAGTGTTATATATATTCTAATTAATTTGTTCTTTGTAATACTTACCATTGTACTTACAAAATATTTAATAATATCAATAATTTAACGTACATATTCGTTGGTTTACACAAATTATAAATCTTGCTTAAATGTATCATAAAGTGTTCGTTATATTTTGAATAATCCGCACAAATTCCAAGTACACTTAAGACAAAAAATTGGATATAATTATTTTGCTTCTTCAAAGTTGGCTTTGAAGGAAATTAGTTTTTTGTAAATATTAATGTTTGCTCTAGATGTTACGAGAATAAAAGTGCCTTACAATTACAATGTCTTATATTTTCTACCCAAATATTATTTTTACAGCGATTAAACAGCAGGAGCTCGATAGTGCACTAATTAGGATAGTTGACCAAAAATTATCCTGAAATCCGCTCTTCAGAAGGCACGTCAAGCCGGGACCAACCGTCTGCATCTGCAGACGTTAACACACCAACAGCACTATTAAGCCCGTTCTCTCTATTTGAAGAACCAGAAGAAATTTTCAGGGAAGAGCTGAGCCCGGCAATGGAAACATTAATAAATTAATGATAATGTTTACCAACTGTAGGTATTAAAACACCTCTAGTAGAACTTTGGCATTTCAATAAGGAGCTCGATGGGTCCCTAAATCAGTTCTTAAGCATCTTTCGCAATGGCCGATGATAGGATAGGTATTTCGGAAGGCACGTTAAGTCGTTGGTCCCAGCTGCATCTACAGTTGTTAATACCTACCAATCTGCCCTAGGCCTGCATGGTGGGCATACACCAATCTCCCAATTCGATTGAAATCGAGCCGATCCATAGGGAAGGCCTGATCCCCAGCAATGAGGTGGAGACATTAAAAAGCTGGTGAGATGTACACGGCGATCCGGTATATTTGGGTTACGCTTAACCGAATAAAGGCTAGGCTGGGACGCACCTACCTCATTTTATTTCTTGCATTTTTTAACACTGACTTGAAAAATTAATTTATTGGCTCTGAACCATAGCGAGGCTCCCAATTGCGCGGGGCCCGTAACATTTGTAACGTGGCTCTGCCGTGCTACCTGTGGTTGTGAGGCGTGGCGATGTTTACGTCGAAGGCGAAAGATTAGCTACTCGAATTAGACATAAAGTTATAATTCATGAGAAAATTATATTATCAGGACAAATAAAAACATACGAAATAATATTAATTAATTTCAAATCGGCTTTACGTTTGTAATGGCGCCACATTCCTGTAAACTTATCTTTTCTCCAGTTACTGGATTCACCTGTCTCTAATAAAACATCAAAATTTGAAATAATATTACAAAAAGTAGAATGAAAATAAAAGACCCCTTTGACTTTGACGGATAAATTAAAAACAATGAACTGTCAATGTCAGTTTTTACCATAGAGTAAGGTAGAGTGGAAATATTTTCTATGGTTATATAAATATCATGCAATCTGAAGTTGACATCAAAAACATCATGTTGTCTTTTTTTAACTAATAAGAAGTTTCTTTAGTAAACAAAGATAACACTAGTGTGACAGTTCAAAATTTTTTACGTGACGTCATGAGATATAGCTATCGTACCACCTGTCAGCCATTTGCAAATTTGCTTTGCGTATTCTCGGAAGTAGTTCAGCTGTCAGTGTTATAAGTTTTGTGGTTATTTTCATTTATAACTTTAATTTATATAACTTTCATGGCAGAAAATTGTAAATTATTTATGCAAAACAATGCCTAGGTGCTGTATAATTGGTTGTGCGTCATCAATATCCCGCAAACCGAGCAATGTTACGTTTCACCGGTAAGTTAAACACTTTCTTGGAATAACAGTATTTAAAACGTAAGTAAGTTATTCTGAAAATGATTGCGTGTATAAATCGATACATATCGTATTTTGGCGTGTTCTATTTATGCTATATTGCTCTTTTCGTTTATATTTTTATAATATTTCGGTCCGTAAATAATATTGTTTACATGGCTAGTGTCGTTACTTTAACATATGGTTTATATCGATAATTTTAATATTTAAAAATATATTAATTATTTTAGATTACCAAAAGATGAAACAAAAGAGGAAAATGGCCGAGTTACATAGAAGCAGAAAATATTAAATGTAATGAAAAAGTTACTTTTATCTGCTCACTTCATTTTAGGGAAAGTTGTTTGAATCGAACTTTAAATATAATAAAATTACGAGATGATGCATTGCCAATCAAATACTCTGGTAAGAATTTTTGACAATTGCTTTTAACTTATTTAAAAAAAAATGTCTATTACACTTAGTTAATTTTCATTTGATTTTACTGATTTATTTATTTAGTTTTTTATATAGTCATTTTGTTATTCTATAAATGTACCTTATTTTTAGTCTTGCGGTCATATGACGACTATTTTAATTGAAAAAAATCAGAATGCAATATATAATAATATTAAAATATAAAATTCTGATCATAATATACTCCCAGTAAAATATACAATAAAATGAGTTAAATAATTTTAATAAAAATTAAAATATGCACACTTATCAAATTAAAGGCATAGTTAAAGGTTTTCTTTGCTGTTCAATAGTATAATCTTAATACCCAAATAATTATTTTGCGGCGTGGATGTTTATTTTGCTGATGCATCATAAAATACGCTCCTTTTTGAATTTAAATTGCTGACCGTTATCATGATTGTTCACAGAACATGAATTGCAGACTGTTTTAGTGCTGAGAAAATATTTGTATGCTTGCCTATTGATTAATCGGCTGTTTTCTTCTTGCTAACCAAATTTTTAAATAAAATGCCAATTGTTACTTCTTTAATAATGTTACTGTTATGCCAATTGTTACTTATTCATCACCAACTTTGTTTTCTTTATTTTCTCTTGTTTATTCATCAAAGTTTACAGTATTTTTATGTTCTTTTACCAATAATATAATACAAAGATTATGTAGGTGTTTCAAGTTTTCTATGTTTACTACTAAACAAGATGTTCTGAACTAAAATTGTGACACAGTACGCACGGTATCTCACTTAATGAGGAGGAAGCGAAATTTATTCAGTCAAAACAATTTATTGAATAAATTTATAGACAAGTTGGCTTACTAGTTACAAGCATATAAGAAAGTCGAAACTCTGTGCTTATAGTTCAGCAATCTATTACGGGAAACCTTGTACCGAGAAAAGAAGAAACTGTAAGAAAGGAACCGGTAAGAAACTGCAAGGGCTGCTTTTGCACCCTGTTTAATTTCGTACTGAAAAATAAAAAATGACTTCATTGGACCAAAATGTCACTTTCCACCAAAACAATAAAAAATATATAACAGACAAAAAAAGCATAATAATTCATTCGTCAATCGACTCATTAAAAGCTTATTATAGTTACCGTGGTAGTTATCTTGGACAGTAGTCACACTTCCCGTGGATGCAAAATTAAACTTATGTTAAAAAAACTATTTAATTATAATTGCAAAATGTCAACTTGACAATATATATGGAAATAATTATAAAACACGATTGATATTATTGTAAAACTTTTAAGATATATATTTTGGTACTATAGTTCTTAAAACTATGTGAAATTGGCTATATTAGAGGAAAAAGAAACATATTTATCGAGGTACAATCATATTATAAAATTATATTATTAAATAATATAAATGTGAAAGTTTGTGAGGATGGATGTTGGTTACTCTCATGTAAAAACTACTGAACGGATTTTGATGAAATTTGGAATACGAATAATCTTTTACCCGTGGGAAGCGCCATCATACGCTGGTAACATATGTTATATTTACTATAGTGACGCAACGGAGTCGCAAGAACAAAGAACGCAAGAAATTTTAGATGTCCAACAAAATACGAGCAAAAGATTGCTTAATGATTTATAAATAATTGATAAATTCACGCCACTTTTAAAAAAATATTATTTTCTTGATACTGGCGTGAATTTTTCAATTTAATTAATAATAATCAT